CAAAGGCGACAACCATGATTTTATCAAGGTCAATTTTAGGTTGTTTTACCACTACGACAGTGCGTTGGCTTCGGACTACATCACACCGTCTGTGGGCACGCCTTCTGCGACGATACCATCGATTTTGAAGGCTTGGAAGCACTTCAGGTTCGGAAAAAGCGCCACCAATCAGGTATTCATCTTCGAACGGTTTTGATGCATCCCCCGCAAGGATGTCATAACCGCTGCAATCAGATAGCTTATCCTCATCAATAGCACGCACGGAAAGATCGTTGAGCATAGTTGAGTCGGATTCAGTTGTGTCAACAGTCCCTTGAGAGTCACAACGATAAATCCGTCCGGATCTGCCACCTGGTTATATTTGAACTAATAAGTTATTTCCTTTAATAGCCAGGTTAATAAAGAAGGAAACGGCTAATTAGGATTTATTTTACTCTATAATGTATCATATCGCTGATTCAAATTGTCGCGCATATTATTCAATCCAAAATAGTGTTTCTACTGATATTGTCTTAGTAGAACAAGATCTTAAAAGCAAACCACCTTATTACTATAGCCAAACTTTTGAGTCGATGGTAAGTACACTTCTATCTAAGGAAACACCCGATAGGAGTTTTGAAAGTATCTAGTTTAGTTTCTTGCACTAAGAAGTCGGAATTTCACACCACTCCTGTATTCTGATGTGATGGGTGTTAGATGTGTTCACTTGCCGATAAATTATTTGATTGGGTTGGCAAATTCTATTATTTGAGTACAAAGAAGCTCCAAACAACCAATACCATTGAATTAATAGAGCATTAAGTGTCTGTTACCTGAATGCCGCTTTGGTCAAAGAAGACTAGGCGTCGGCAACATTATAAGTGCTTCAAGTAAACAAACATGAAAAGAGAAAATTCCACCGATAAAATCGAAGTGTATTTGTTGGGTATTGCCGGATATTTAAAAGAATTTAAAAACGATTGCTGCTAAACACAGTTAAATGTCTTTAAATGTTATTTTAAAATTGTGTGTAGCCCTTGGATTATAAACAAAAAAACACAGGGTTCTGGAAGTGGGAAATTAAAGGCCTTCTAGGGCAAATACCTGAATTTGCTGTGAAGAAGGTAGCTGTTTCCGATGTAACTGAGCTACCGCCTTTGACTGAATTTGTAAGCGACGCATCCAATTGTAGGTTTGTTTTTTCATATTTATTTGTTGGCTTTTGGCTAAAAGAAGTTATTAATAGTCAATGCAAAGTTTAAAAAACCGTTCATCTACTCATAAAATCTCATTAACAAGAAAATTTGACATAAAATCGTATGGCACAATAAGATCCAATTTGGCTTGTGTGCAATTAAAACATCCGAATCCTGCATTGAATTACTCGGATGTGCAAATCGTGAATACTGTTTATTTTAATTCTGGAAAAAAATTGAAAATATTTCCCAATTTATTACTATGACTGTCAACCTCGTGGCCTCTTACTTAGCAAAAGTACCCTTTGACTATTGCAACACCGGCAACCCATGACAACCTTCATTTAGTCTTATTTCGACTAATATTTAGTCTTCTAAAATTCTTGTTTACATTTGATTTGTCTGTTTTAATCGTAACTAACTATTTTTATTAGAAGCTACACACCCTCCTTAATAATCAGGATGTCAAGTGGAAAATCTTAAAACTTTGCAATTTATTTGGTGCAGGTCAAAATGAAACAGAATTGCGTTGAAACACAACATTGGCAATCGTTAGAGCTCAGATGTTTGGCTAATCAAAATATGCATTACTGACCAAATGACAGAAAACTGCTTGATAAATCGCGATGAATGAACTAGACGGATTGAAAATACTTTAAAGAAAAACATACGATTCAGTTTGGGTTTCACTTTCACAGCGGTTTGGTTTAGGGGTTATCAGAGCCTCGAGTGAGGAATACTTTCGGAGGAAATTTGGATGTTGTATATGGAGAAAAGCCTAAAAATAATGAAAATAATCAGCCGTACCGCAATGGCTTATGTGGAACCCTTCTGAACCTCGTGCCATAGTAACGCTCAAATCCATGACTATAAAATGAAAATTAAAATAAGGAGGAACAATCAACTGGTAATAGGAGTATAAGTTGTACATGTTGTGGTAATATAATTAAAAGTCATTGGAAGTAAGTTATACGGAACTTGTCACATCCAGCCCAAAAATATGACGCATGCACATCTTCCAACACGTTTCACTTTCGCGGTTTGACCCTGCAAGTCATGTTTAGCGGTGGTACATCTATATAACAAAGACTAGTGTGCTCTACTCTGGGCATCTTAAAAAGCATCGAATGTTTCAAACAAGGTCAGAACATAGGTCTCACTACGGGGCCTCAGTTACAATAACATTGGACACTTTTGATTCAGTATTGGCGCTTAAGCAAAAAGAAGCACGAATGAGGGGTTGGGGGGGGGGGGGTTAAAGCTAGATACAGATATTAGATCAATTAAAGCAATTTAGGATGAAAGTAGAACCAACATGCTTAATTTGTGTGATATATAGAAGGACCACTTGAGAATCTGAGTGCTTGGCATGCGACATTAAGGCACGCAAGAAGATTGGCATAAAAAGCAGGATATTTGAGCATCACATTTTGGCCAACTGCAGTTAGAGGGACAAACAGCGAGAATAGCATTTTGATGTGTCGAGTATCATGCAAGTGAACACGAAGAAGGTGGTTTCAAGCGCCAGTGACGCATGTTAGGACAGCAAGACGGACACAGAATATTTTGACGAGGTTTATGAGGAACATACCGAAAAATTAGGAAGGTGGTACACACAACGAGGGTTGACGAGTTGGAGAGGATTGAGATAAAGGAGGACATAGCAAAATAGAAAAATGAAAGTAAAGACAAGTGAGCTTTTGGAGGTTACAATTGCTCCGAATTTCTAATCTAGATATAACGAACATCAAGACAACTATTCTGCAAGCAATCGCACAACAAAAAGAAGAGCAAAGATTGCATAAAAATAAATTCCATTTTGACCTATAATATAGGAGCCATCGCACTTGTGATCTAAGCTAAATATGCTGTGATTACAATTTCCAAAACGTCCACTCACACCGCCCAAGTGAATCATAGATTAGTAGGTACAATGATTTATAATTACCTTTTGGTTTCTGGTGAAAGCAGTCGACCGTTGTCGGGGGTCACTAGTAGATGTAGAGGGTTGAGGGGTAACATCCTGTGCTGTTTGATGTACATTCGCAGATACAACGAAGGAATTTAAACGATTTGCAGCGTCGACAAGCTATAATGAAAGCATTATCGACATTAATAGCCATGAAATAAACCAAATAAAATTAGGTTTGATACTTGCCAGGCTGTCTAGAGAACCAGAATTAACCTTATCACCACGCCTCAAAGACGAGGAGAGATTCAGGCCAACTTTAGGTTTTTGTGGACCTTCTGTTGTTAAAGTATGAGGAGGGTCGGTGGACGGTGCCTCCTCGACTTCAATGCTTCGAAATCTACGAGCCACAAGAAGACGAATAAAGGGTTCCCTATCAGTAGTAATCTTGGAAATAGAAGTTTTGAGCAATGTAAGTGCATCCGCAGAGGAGAGGCAGGAGAGAGGGTGGTTGTTGATTGACAATAACCGATCGTCTACTTGCAGCCGTCCATCCTAGCAAAGAAAAGGGGAATATTTTTAGACATTTCACACAGTTAAATATCCAACGATAGTCTTGTACAAACTCTTCTTCTTTGGAAGAAATCAATTGACTTGAAAAATGATTTCCGTTCTCCCATGCAATCCATATAAAGTATGCTGTTATTTATTTGCTTAAAAGTGTACAAACCAGTTTGAGCAAAGTTTACAAACAGATACGGGTCTACTTGCTAATAAATTCTGTTATAGTTTAACGCTCAAAGGAAAGTCACATTTGGGTAGAACACTTTGATCATGCTTATATTATTCTTGCCATGAAATTTCAACGGCAAAAGACCGACATTTGTAGATGCCTAGTAACTCCGAGTGACATTATTGGTGTTAATCTAATTTAAGCTTTTAAGGTCTAAGAGGCTGAAAACAAAAATTTCAAAAAACTATAAGTTTCCGAAATGTAATGAGCGATTGCTGAAATAAACTAATGAAAAATACCCTGAGAGCCATGGCTACCGACTCAGTTATTCATTCTTTCTACGTATTAAGCTGTAACCACTCAAGCTCGTCATAAACATCACGATGAATTCAATCTGACAACGCTATTGTTCATGAAACACTTATGGGCTTTTTATTTGCCCGTGACCCCATGTGCTTCATTTGTACTTGCTTCTTCGTCATTCTTTTCATTAGCCACTCAAATAGCCACAAATGATCACGGGTTAGTTAGTCCCTCCTATCTAAGCTATTGCCGCCTTCGTTCCTTTCAATGCTTTTCTCCACTCCCAATATCTGCTAGCAGGTCAAGGCCAGAATGTGTGACTCACTTTTC